AAAAAAAATAAAAAAAAAAAAAAAAAAAAAAAAAAAAAAAAAAAAAAAAAAAAAATATAGAAATCTATATTTAAATTTTTTTCTATAAATTGTTTCTTAAATAATTTATTTCATTCATAATCCGAGCAATCGAAAAATATATATATAAAAAATATAAAATTAAAAATTAAAAAAAAAAAAATAAAATAAAAGAAATCTATATTTAATTTTTCTTTTTCTTTAAATTGTTTCTTAAATAATTTATTTCATTCATAATCCGAGCAATCAAAAAATATATATATAAAAATAAAATTAAAAATTTTAAAAATAAAATAGAAGAAATCTATATTTAATTTTTTTTCTATAAATTGTTTCTTAAAAAATGTATTTCATTCATAATCCGAGCAATTAAAGCTTTTAAATTGCATTGTAATTGATTTGCAGCCTTGTGCGTAATACAAAAATTATTCTCACCCAATAACTAAAATAATTTTATTTTTGTGTCTGTTTAAGTCTTAAACAATGTACAATAAATTATGCCAAACCCTTTTTGTAATTAATTTTATATGTTCCTTGTACATTTTGCTATTCTATTGTGTTTTTCATTTTCTCTTTTAGTGTTTTTGTCCGTGGCATGTTTGAAGTCATCAACACCTCTTTGTCCTGTATGCTCCACACCTTTCCCAGCTCCTCAAACCCTCCTCCTCCCCCGCCCCCTTCACTTTCTGTGTCTCTTTTATGATTGTTATGCTATGTTGTTTTTCTGCATTTTGGCATTTGGCTAGCATAATTTTTTACACACTCATGTAAAGAATTGGCTCTATGCATTGTCTAACTCCTTAATATCGGAATGCCGTGGAGTCTGTCAGCCTTGCTAACTGTTTTCGATGCTTACAGGGCACCGCCACAGACCTGGTGGTGCAAATCGTGCTCATCGCTGAGTCGATGCGCCTGCAGGCCATGATGGCCACCTACGGCATACAGACGCAGACACCCCATGAGGTGAGTGAGTACAGTTATTGCACTTTATGTGTATCACTAATTTCTCGCTTGCTCGCTTACAGGTGGAGCCCGTGCAAATCTGGAGCTCAACGGAGCTGATCAAGGTCTATCAGCATCTGGGCGTCAATCACAAGGTCGGCCTCTCGGGCCGTCCCCCGCGTCCCGTTGGCTCGCTGGGCACCAGCAAGGTCTACCGCATCTGCGGCATGACTGTGCTCTGCTATCCGCTCATCTTCGAGGTGTCGGACTTCTATTTGTACCGCGATATGGCGCTGCTGATTGACGACATCAAGACAGAGCTGCAGTTTGTGGGCAAGTATTGGCGTCTGTCGGGCCGGCCCACCGTCTGCCTGCTGATACGCGAGGAGCACATGCGGGATCCGCAGTTCAAGGAGATGCTGGACCTGCTGGCCATGCTGAAGAAGGGCTACTGCGACGGCATGAAGGTGCGCATCGGCCGACTACAGAATCTCATCAGCAGCTCGTGCATCGAGCACTTGGATTTCATGAACCAAAACGATCTGACAGACAACGAGAATGCCTTTTCGCAAATCAATCACGAGTACATAGGCTATCAGTCGCTCACAGATGTGCCCAAGGCACTGACCTATGTGGAGGAGAAGATCTCCGTGGCAGTAAGTTGAGCCCTTCCCTAATCTGAAACTGACCGGATTAACTTTCTCTTACCTTTCTCTTGCCTAGCATTTTGACAGCAAACCCACGCCGGATATCATAAATGCGCTGCGCAGCACCGAGTCCATCTACTGCCTGTGCCAGCTGTGGGGCATTCTGCTGAACCGCGAGGGCCCCCACTTCGAGGTGAATGGCCTCAATGTGAGCACGGCCTTGACGCAGCTCTACCATCGCGCCGGCTCGCTGCGCTATTGGCGCGCTGTGCGCTACTGTTCCTCGTTGCTGCACCATATTGTTGACTCCATCAGTCCGTTTATCACCACTGTGCTGGTGAACGGCAAGGAGCTGACCGTTGGCATTATCGGCCAGAAGGAAACGGTCTTCGATAAGCCCATGACCCCAGCGGAGATTCAGAATGTGATGTACACTAGTGTGCAGCCGTATGATGTCATCCAGGCTGTGCTGCAGCAGGAGGTGGTGCTCTACTGCGGCCGTCTGATTGCCACCAATCCGTCCATGTTTCGTGGCATCCTGAAGATACGCATTGGCTGGGTGCTCGAGGCTATGCGCATCTATCTGCAAATCTCTGGCCAGCAAAGCATCGATGTGGACAATCTGTCGCCCTTCCAGGTGCGCATTCTGCTGCAGAAGGTGCTCACAGTCAGCGAGTGGGCTGTAGAAGAAAAGTGTGTATACATGGCATGAGGAGTATTCCAAGTGTCCTATTGAAACTCTGCAAATTCTCTTGTAGGCTCACCACGCTGCAGCGCCGCCAGCTGGAGGGCTGCCTGTGCCGTGTGCCTAAGCACTTCTACAACAAGATCTGGGAGATTCTGCAGCGCACTCCACAGGGCATTCTAACGCAGGGACATCATCTGCCCGCCACACCCACACTGACGAGCATGAGTCGCGGCGAGCTGACGTTCAATTTGCTTGTGGAAGAGACACTAATCTGCATCGATCGGCCCGAACGGCGGCAGATAACCGTGGAGCTACTATGCATTGTGGCCACCATACTGAATCGGTAAAGCACATCCTAAAAAATTGATACTAAAGACGTAAATCTAATACTTCATCCTTTTAGCAATCCGGAGCTGCATTTCAAGCAGGCGCTTGATTTGGATGGCATCATTGCCGAGGCCTTTGCCATGTACTGCAAGGACAACAATATACAGAAACAGCCCCAGTCGTCGGAGCAGCAGGGCCAGAGGCAGGAAGATCTGACCGCCTTCTATTCTCTGCCCTATTCGGAGACCACCGGCTACTTGGCCCGCGCAGCCGTCAATAAAGTTCTGCAGGGCGGCGTCTTCTCCACATCCGAGGATGACGTGCAGCTCGACGGGGATCACTTGCACGATGACAATTGCAAGGTCTCCTAAGATATGTCGCTTAGCCCTTGTACATAGCATATCTTTGTTGACCGAAAGAGGAAAATACTTGTACCACTATCCAAAGTATATCGAATTTCATAGCCTGTTCTGTTTTGATTTTAATATGTGCTACCTATTCATCTTCTTGTCCTGTTAGTGTTTAATTAAATGTTATCTATATAAATAAGGCCGATTGTTCTCTCTGTTCTATTGTGACCCATAGAAGGCGGCAACTACTAACGAGCCGTACAAGGCCGGGCTACGCCTCTTAGTCTAGTTTATTGCAAACCACAACAAAATGTTGCACCTGCCCGGGGCAGTGCTTAGTTAATAGGTCAGTTGCAAGGTTCTTTTTGTGCAAGCCTCTGGCAAATCTGTTTGACTTGTCAAGCCCTGCAGTTCGGCTTTATGCAAGGTCTATCGATTACGTGCCAGTGCCCTCCAGTTATATCACCTTCAGGCCTTTGTGGGGCTATAAAAGCAACGCGTTCGTTGCTCACTCTGTTTAGTACGTTTACAGAGCTTGACGAGTCAGCATGCGAGCACCCGAGTGGATGAGCACTGAAATGGCGCGGCTCACGTCCAAGCTGGAGCGCTATAAGCCCACAGGCAGCGGCTACAATCGCATACAATCCATTCGCCTGTCCAAGAGTGTGACGCAGATGCTCAACAATCCTTTGCCCAACGCAGCGGCGCGCGCCAACTCCATCAAAGCCAGTCAAAAGCAGCCGAGTGGCCAGCAGGAGAACGCCTTTACGACTCCGAGGCGGCGCGGTGTGCTCAGTCGCAGCGAATCCCAATGGGAGGAGGTCTATCCAGCCATCAAATTCAATCGACAGCAGAGCAACGACAGCGCCAACAGCCTCGACAGCAGCGACAGCAAATTTACGCACTATCGCAACTGCTCAACGCGCATTACATGAACGAGTTGTAAAGAGAAAATATATTTACGAATTTTATATTATTTATAAATGTGGCGAAAAATCTTTTTATTAAGTGCTTAAATTTGTTAAATAAATTGAATTCCGATGTCTTGTCGAGCTCGGAGGAGTCCAATTGAAGTTTCCATTGAAGATTTGTACCTAAAGTAAATTGGAGCTGAAAAATAATATATAAAGATTTGAAGACTCAAGATCTTCAAGAATAAGACCTGAGAGTTATAAAATTGTCTTGCTTAGACTACCAAAATATGTAGTTGGGCTTGTTCAGTAGACGAAACGAGACGTAGTCGGGTAGGGTAGGGTAGGGTAGTTCCACTCTAAGATTACAAGCAATTTCTGTTCCACAATTAAAACTATTCAAGGGGTTAGATTAGAACAATTCATAATAAAAGATCTTGAGATTTTTTCCTATATATGAAATACATAAATTATTTTCAGTCCTCAGAGCTTTTCATCCTGCAAGAGCTGACATATTTAAATTTTAAAAATATATATACTTTGGATTTTATAGTATAAAATATGTAGGTCATCTGATGGCTTTATATGTCTTGATTTTAAGCTCACACATAATTCAAACTAGAAGAATATTTGAACAAATATTTCATTATGCGAGAAAAAGAATTCTTTTTGGATTGCAGTTAGTTTTTTTGTTTTTCAATATTAATCAACTTAAATTAGGTACAATTATTTTGTTTTTATTTATTAAATAGTTCATTTAAGTTTTACATTCAATTTGTTCGTTGCTTGGTACAAAAATTAGTTTAGGTATTTTTTTTTCTGATTTTTTTTTTTTACATTTATGAAATTTGTTTAAATATATATAAAATAGCATGTAAATTTTTAGTTGGCGTGTGTGTGTGTGTAGTTCAACTATAGCTAATTGGAGATTGCCTATTCGATCTACATATGCATATGTATTTAGTATGCAGGCATAGTTTGATTTGATTTGATTTGATTCCGATTTGGATTTGATTTGATTTGAAGCCTTTCAATTTGATATGAAGCAAATGATATTTTGCGATATTACAAAGAAAAAACAGGTGATATATATGATATGCCTAGCAATAAATTCAACGCTCCTCTATACACATATATATAAGCAAACATACAATACACTGATATACATATAGATTTTAGTCTATAACAAATATACAATTATCTAATATCATTTTGTTTAAGGCAACATAAATACAAATTCAATTTGAAGCTTGCGCACACGACACGATTTTTACATATGATATATATGACATTTGATTACATATAATATATATATATATAAACATATACATGTATATAAAAACATTATGTTTCATGCTTGAACTTATGCAAATAAGTTGAATGCTTTTGCATGCATAGTTTAATTATTTGTTTATCGTTTTGTAAAATGCTAAAAATCCCTGAATATGAGTTCTCATTATTATTATTATTATTATAATAAATATTTTCATTAGAGTTTATACACATATACGTTGTTATGACTTAGTTAAATAACTTAGGCAAAATCTCTATCGATTCGTTTAGCTATTCATTTCTCGTATGTTTCTTTTTTTTTTTTTCGTTTCTTTTGCTCTATTTAACAACACTTTTTACTTACAGTTAGTTATTCTTTTGTTTTAGTTACAATTCCTATTTAGTATGCATAGATCTGTATGGTATGCCCTATGGAACATGCACTAGATAACACTTTCACACGGCAGTACTTGACAAAGTTTAACTACATACACAGAGTAATTAATTGTAAGTGTATTTGATGTGTGTGTGTATGTGTGTGTGTGTATTGTATATGGTTTCTCTCTAACTAATTGCAGTATAAATTTAAAAAAGGACTATGAAACCTACGTTAACGCAATCTCTCTATATATAAACATATACGTACTTAAATATACGTAAGCCATACGCTAGTTAAACTCAAACATTTAGATTAGACCTATGTTATTGTTGCTGTTGCTGTTGCTGTTGTTGTTGTAGTTGCTCAGGTCGTCGCACACTCATGCGACTGGGTATGGAATCGGTATCACCATCATCATCCAGATAATCCTCCTTGGGACGGGTCCATTTGATCAACGTTTCGGGCGAGCGATACAGGAAGAGCAATTTGGCAAAGAGATCCTCCTCCAAAGCAAATTCCAGAGCCTCACGCACCTGCAGCAAGGTAGAAGAGTGTTGAGAATAGTGCTATACAATTTGTGGGTAATATTGACTCACCAGGTATATATCCAGGCACAACTGTAGCACACGATCCACATAGGGCAAGTCCTCGAACATGATTTTACGATTTTGACCGCCAATGAAGGATTTCATGAAACGCGAGGCCAATAACACGAATGTGGTGTAGAGACCAATGATGCTGTGGAAGAATAGAGAAATCGATATCAGATATGTGGGCATACTAGGGATTAGAAATCACTCTATATTATATATACTAATCAATCAATCATCACTCAATTATTATATATTATGAGTCCCCAGTACTCAATCAGTCATCAGCCTTATATATAGGTACATAGAGAATGAGTTTCGACTCACCCGCCAGCTGTTAGGAAACTGAAAGTCGATGGGAATTTCTTGTCGTTGAACGTGTACATGACAATGCCCGAGGTGCAGTTGCTGTAGGCCAAGTCCTTCAGTGTTGTGTTGTAGAAGTTGTCATAGCAAAAGTCGCGTATCTCCCACCACAAGCCATTGGTGGCCTTGTCCCGATGCATTTTGATCACCAGCGGCCGATACTCCTGCTCCTTGCCGCTCAGCACGGTCACGACGAACGCATCGCCCGAGTTGAGCACCTTTATGAACTTGGGTATCATGTTCGGTAGCACCACGACGACCTCGCTAGCATTGCCACTCGGTTTGCTGCTGCTGTCTGCAGCGCTGATGGTGTCGTTGGCATTGCTGGTGCCATTAGCATTGCCATTGCCATTGCCATCGCCATCGCCATTGCCGTTGGCCTCCAGCTGCTCATAGGTCTCGTTTAGCATATTGATGAGCGCCGTGCGACCCTCAAATGTTTCGTCCAGCTTGATGATGTGCTCATCGCCCACATTCTCCTTGAGACCCTTGGCAGGCGCCTTGCGGGTCAACGAATACGAAAAGCGGGCAATCAGAGTGTGATCTAAACAGAATGAACACATAGATATTATTGAAGAGCATTGGATTTACGAATCTTGAACTTACTGTTACGCAGGTCATTGGTGAGGCGCTCCCTGTCCGGCGGAGCAATGTTCCATAGGGAGGGCGAGTTGCCCGCCAGCTTGACCGCAGCCACGTCCGTGGCATCGTATCCCGCTATGAAGGTCAAGGCTTGCTTGTTCTTGAGAAACGCATTCGTCATTTGGCCATACATCTTGGCGTCGATCTCGAAGATGCTGTCGTAGTTATTGGTCGTGTAGATGGGCTCGTAGGGGCCGATGCGTATGGACAAGGACACTTGATAGGGCACGTTCGAGGTGCCCACCGCGTTGCCCAGGGCGAACAGGCAGAGCGGACCCCAAATGCAGATGACAATCAAGAGGACGATCGTGCCGCCCATTATCAGCTTGGACAGCGAGGCCTTTTTCTGGGCGCGCATTGCTGGGAAGTCCGTTTCGGATTGCCGGGTGCAGCGTATGAGATAGATGTTGGAGAAGATGTCCTCCATCTTGAGCCAGTCGAAGATGGTCATGGTGCTGTCGATGCACACCCAGTCGAGTATGGTGCGCAGCTCGTAGAGGAAGGGGATTTGCATGTACACCTTGAACGCAATCATGTTGACCATCGAGAAGCCCTTGGTAAAGAAGTTGCCCAGAATGCGCTTCGGATAGCCGGACTTGATCTGGTACGAGCTCAGGAGCATATAGAAACACTTGATCACGTAGAATATAATCGGCGGAGCGAGCGAGTTGAACGTGCGCTCCGTCACCGCTGGCACCACAAAGAACATCCAGATGTGTATGCCAATCACGGAGAGGAAGTGGAACACGATCTTCTTGACCAGAGCCTTGCGCAAATACAGCGCCCGATCGATCACAATCAACAGGAACTGCACCAGCAGCATGATCAGGAAGGGCACAGGCACTTTATTCTCAGCCAAATAGGTCTGTACGCCGCCATCGCTCTCCGTTTGTTGCGTCTGCAGAGAGGAAGGAGAGAGAGAGCATTGTATGGGGATTCACAGAGAGGGAATCGCTGCACTCACGCCAAATGCCGTAAAGCCAAAGAGCAGCACGAAGAAGTTGACAAAGTCGCAGAGGAACATGAGAGCATAGACATCGGTAGCCAGTCGGGATTTGTGCACCAGACTGAAGAAGAACTTGTGCAGCGATGAGGTGTACTTGGTGCGTCTACAGACGTAGGGAAGAGGACGCAGAGGGAGATTATTAACAGAAGGAAACAATTTCGCCAACAAGATGACTTACTCCAACTGATTGATGGCCGACTTGGCATATTCGGGCGAGCCAGGCAGCGAGACCTGGCTAACCTGCAGGCTAAGCTTCTGGGCGGCATCCTCGTTAAGCTGGCGCGAGTCCGGCTGGGACATGTTGTCGCTATCCTCGCGCTCATCGCTGGAAGGAGACGAAAGTACAATTGAGTTGGAGGATGAACGAGCAACGTCCTCGATATCCACTCACATGCTGGCCGTGGGCTTGGCGAACTGTTGGTCCGTATCCTTGTAGCCGGACTTCCACAGACCCTGCGACTTGAGCAGATAGCGATGCAGGAACAGGACCAAAAGCAAGATCAAGTCGTAGACCGCATAATGCGTCTTCATCTCAACTCCGAAGATCTTCGCGGTGGTCAAGGGCTGGTTGATCAAGTCGTGATAGTTGGCCCAGATCAGCTTGAACTGAAAGATGCACTTGACCAGCACTATCGCCTGGGTGTAGGCAATCAGGGTCACCCAGAAGGTCTTCGTGGGACGCGGCAGTGACAAGGTGCCCCACAGAAAGACCATGATGGGCAGAGGCAGCGAGATGATGCTAGCATTGACCACCTGAAATCGGGAGAGTTGGGTTTAACTCGACCAGGAATTCCGCTGCGAGCTCACCTGATTGATGAACACCACAATGTAGCATATGAGATCCGTGTTGGCCAGCAGCGCGTACCACGAGGAGATGAGCACCTCGACAATGATGTGATGATCCCGCTGCGCAAAGTTCTCCTCCTCCAGATTGAAGTCGCCCGCGCTGCAATTGCCCAGAACACGAATTAGACGAGGAAAGATCAGGATTTCGAGTCAACTAGGAATTTCTATACAGGATTAGCGATTCGCATGCCTGGCTGCTGGGTGCGGAGCCTGTGCGCTGCATGCGACGCACTCTACGTGGCGCTGTGATCGTGCACCGATCTCAACGGAAATCGTCTTATAGCTCGTACAACTCATAAATCGGAAACTATCAATATAAAGCCACAAACAACAACACATACATACATACATACTAGCAAATAACGCACAAAGAGTGGCATGGACTTGAACCAAAGCAGATGCAAATCAATTAGTTATAGACAGCCAAAGAGATATATATGTATATAGAGGGAGGAAAAGAGAGTACTGATAGAATATGTTTATAGAAAGAGATAGAGTGTATTAGTTAGAGAGTTAGGGAATGCAATCGGAGCTGGAATTTACGAGATGTCTGCTAATCTCAATTTCGTGTCGATATAAACCTTAGGTACTTATGGTATATACAGTAGAATCCGTTTATAAGGACTCCGCTTATAGCGTCTGTACGGTTATAGCGACGAAAATTCTGGTCCCAGACAAACTTTTATGAGCAAGCTTATATGACGGTCCCTTGAGTGTCGCTATAACCGGATTCTACTGTACTTTGTCCTTAAATTTTAAGTGGATAGATGGAAGATAAATCGGCTTCAATCTGACCTACAAAATCTCAAGTTAAACTCCATATTTTCTTATAAACAATTTCATATAATATATGTTATTCAATAAAATCCAATTAAAATAGAGAACTCTATGGAGCTTTTTCTGTAATTTCGAGAGAATCTAAATTACTCATCTGGTAATAAACCCAGCTACATAAAAAACTCAACTCCGATTGCCTCGACAACTCTGAGGAGTTACAGCGAAGAGATAGTATAGTATAATAGATAGTTATCTATATAGAGAGATATGAGAAGAGAGTTACGATGAGGTATATAGAAAGGGTACGATTAGCCACAGGTAACAACAGCAACAGCAACAACAACAGCAACAGCGCTACGAGTACTTGATGGGGTAGGTCGTGTGTGTGTGTGTGTGTGTGTCTAACGAAGTAGGCGTGGTCAATACCTGTCCACGTGCTCGTAGGACCAGTGTTTGCTGAGCGAACCCGAACCAATGCTCGCCTGCTGCTGATGATGCGCTGGATAATGATGATGTTGATGGGGATGCGGATGATGAAGGGGCGTGTGAGACGGCTGAGGCGGTGGCGGCGGCGGCGGCAGCTGCTGCTGCTGCTGCTGCACGCTGCGCTCAATAGATGGCGCTTTAATGCGTATTTCTGGCAGGCCGCAATCCGATTTGCGGCTTTAAGAGGCAGGCAATGCATGGAGGTGTGTATGTATGTATGTGTGTGTGTGTATGTATATTTGTATTTGTATCAAAAATGCACAGTTATAATTGAGATGAGATACGAGTAAGTAGAAACAAAATATTTTGCTCAATAATAGAGTATTAGAGGTGTTGTTATATAAGTAGATCCTTAAGAGAAATATAGATATATATCGTATGTATATGTCTCTGTGTGTGTGTATGTATGTAATACTTAAGATATCGATGTTAAATATGTAGAGATTTACTTACCCCTTGATCGGCGGCGATGAACTGATTGATTGTTTTCTATAAACACAAAAGTTTTTTTTTTTTCAGATGAATCAAAATGCGCGCAGAACAAATGTCAAAATGTAAGATAAAAAATATATAAATAAATTAGTAAAGATTTTGTTGGTTCAGTTTGTGGTATCTAATCAAAATAAGATTAGAGTTAATTTTTTTTTACATTTTCAGTTATTTTATAAATTTCTACAAAATTAAAATAGAAATATAAAAAATTATAATTAAAATTAAAATTATTCTTATCAAATCAAAGCATCATTGAGAGCTACAATAGCCAGATATGTTATTTCTTTAATGTAATTTAGAATTGATGTGACCAAATGTTAAACAACAGATTTAGAACAGACTACAGTGAAGCACATGTTTGAAGAAAGCAATTGGGAGGATGGGATTTTGGGTAAGCTTGACTAGTTGACTCTAAAGCTACAGCAAGATCATATGAAATGTTTTTAGAAGCACATGAGCTCTGATATATGACATAAAATGCATTAACTATATAATATGTATATCTAGTAAACATACTTGAATTACTACAAGATATATTTATTAGCAGTAGACAGAGTGTTAGCTATATGAAGGCAGCTCTACATAGGATTAGTATGGCTATAAGATATTCAGCTCTAATAACGTTGACAGCTATAAAGCTGAGTAAGCTGGTTAAAGGCTGTAAAACATAACATCTTATTCATAATAACATGGCTGCAATAAGACCTGATGCTTGTAACAGAAGTATGCTGTTAATAACCTTAAGCAAATTGACAGAGTATGTTAATTAGCAGCAGCACAAGATGATGGCATTAAAATGCTAATAACGTGAATTGAAGCTCATTTAACATAGCTCTGTAAGCCATAGCTGTTGAGTAACAGCTGCTTTAGATAACAGACTGAATGCTAATAATAATGCTATTTACAGCAGAAGCAGATAACATCTTTAAGGCTTAAGTATTTGCAGTCTTTTAAGGAACCGCTGCTCCTGCTGACTAATATATATAGCCATATTGAAAGAATATATGAAGAAAGTCTCTTGAACTGCTCTTGCTAGGATACAGTTTAGTAGGCTTATAGGGAATGTTAGTTGGGTTAGGTTTTTGGAGGCATTTCTGATTCTGGGATTGGTTCGTAGTGGTTTTCGTTTTACCTAGAGAATGCTGCATCAACGGTATCTACGGGCAACTCGATGATATCTTCGCCAGCGTGTGACTGTTGGTGGGGCGTACTGGTTGCCGGTGGCCTAACGTGTGCTTGTTCTGGCGGTGTGAGCGGTGTGATTGTTGTTGTTGTTGTGTCTAGTGTTGTGCTGGTGTGATTGTTGTCTGTGGGTGTTAATGTTGTATCTGTTGTTGTTGTTGTTGTTGTTGCTGCGGCCGCCGTAGCCAGCTGCGAGCGACGCGGTGTGGATGATGAAGCTGGCTCATCACTAATATTCAAAAAATATTCAAAAAACAAAAACAATGATCACGCAACATTTGATGTGAGCGATGCGAGATGAGTCGATTGTTGTTTGTGTTGTTTGATTGTTTGTTTGTTTTGTGGAAGCAGGTACACAGTTTCAAACACACGTAATGCAAAAGGTAACATATGCAAATAAATAAAAAAATAAAATAAATTAAAAATTAAATCAATTAAATAAATTTGTCGGAATATTCAACACAAGCTCAAACGAAACAGTTAAACAAAAATTAAAAATATATAAATAAATGCAAATAGAAATTCAATAGTTAGGATAGTCGAAACGCAAGCGGCGCACACGCCCATCTAAGCCTAAACGCCCACTAAATACCTCTCGAGATTCGATTTCAGAAAATGGAACATGGCCGCGGCGCTGGATAGGCCCAAACGATTCAGCGAACTGGATTCCTATCAGAAAGAGAGAGAGAGAGAGAGAGGGAGAGAGAGTTAGATTAGTCCAGCTACAGTGAACACTCTGCATGTGACACATACTTTCAGGGTTTTCTTCTCGCCCGCTAGAATTCGATTGACGAAGCGATAATTGCGCGAGAAGCGATTCAGGCGTATGGTCAGTGTGACCAGGAAGCCCTCCAGCAATCGTATTATGGGATTCGTATCGAAATCCTCATCTGAATCCTTGGCCGTCACATCGCCGCTATCCGGTTCCATTTTCGACTTGCTGTCCGAGGTTTCCTTGGAGGCGACGGGCGCCGCCGTAGCCGTTGCTGGCAGATCCGTAATATCCTTGGCCTTGCTTGTCGTTCCGGCTGCATCGCGCTCCTTTGAGACGCCTTTGCTGGTCGACGGAAAGAAGTCCGTGGGCGCATCCTTCGATTTCTGTGAGGGCAGACGGAAGCGAATGTAGGAATGATTATAATAAGCTGTATTATTATGTTTTATGTAAGGGAAACAACATTGAGATAAGTAAACGAAATTAAGCTAAGATAGATAAAAACAATTAAGAATGTTGCAGGCAGGCACTACCGACTGCACAATACTCGTTCACTGGGCAAAGCTGTTAAGTGTACTGAGAAATCTGGGCTATATATGTATATATAATAATAGATCTAGCAATAAAGACTTTCTAAACTGCAAAGTGTTTATATGCCAGGCCTTCTGTAGATCTAGATTGAACATAGATCTAGAGTACATATAACAAAGTTCTGTAACTTCAGGAGTAGAGAAATTGTTTAAGTTCAGATGGAAGAACGGACGGACAGTAGTAAAAACTAAACTAATAAATAATTAACTAATATACCCTTTGCAATTTGTGAACGAGTATACAAAATAATATATATATATATATATGTATATACAAATGTTGTAGTTGTTGTTGTTGTATTTGTACAGTATATATAGGCTTATATAGTTTATATATTAAAAGTGAGTGCGCCAACAGTTGCAGTTGTTGTTGTTGTTGTTGTTGTTGTTGCTGCTGCTGCTGCTGTCTGCAGCGCATTGAAAAAGTCGTGATCAAATATATATGTACGTATGCATGTATAGAAAATATATATAGCAAATGCTGTACGATAAACACTTGGTTCAACAGGTGCGCCAATTAAAGGAATTTTCTGTTTGCTGCACACTCACAACTGCCTCTGGGCCATGGGGAGCCGGGGGCGGGGTTGGCGCATCGAGCAGCAGCTGGCTGCGACGCCCGAAGTCAGCGGGCTCGGAGAGCGTCGAGGTGCGTATGCCAACGTCGCACTCAATGGTATCGTCGTCATCGGCGTCCTCATCCTCGACGGCACGCTCCGCCGTCAGCTCATCCCGCTCGTCCAGGCTGTTGGCCGCGATATCCTTGAGCGCTATGCGAGAGCCCGGCTCGGAGGCATACGATCTCTCGCGCATATACAAATGACGGCGATACTCCGCATCGTTCAGATCCTTCCACACCTTGTTGTTGTTCGTGTGTATTGTGGGTGTGTGTGTGTGTATGTGTGGAGGATGGCGTAATTTATAAGGGAATTTACAGTAGATTATGGGAATCGGTATATCCAAGGCTGCAAACTGAACTCTGGTTGAACTTGTGCGAATACGGTCTCTCATGAGAGATAATGCCAGTAGGAATCATGCTAATGCTAATGACAATAAGGATACTAATGAGTTCATGAGGAATACTCCGATTCACAAAAGCTAACCTAAGAGCTAAGAGATATTGGTTTGCAGCCATGGTATAATATATGTATGTATATAATTCTATATAAGGAACATGCATAGACCATGCCATTCGTTATCAATATCTATATAACTAGTATGCTCCATCGTTACCAATGACCCGAGTACCTCACTTACGTCATAAAGAGTCTTGCGTCGTTGCATTTTCATCTCGCTCTCCGTAATGTTCTCCTCCTCCAAAAAGTCGATTTCATCGTGTATCAGATCCAGCTCGAACTTGTCATCCATCTCCTCAAACATGTAATAGTCGCCGGCTCGAGTCGCTTTTGTCGTTGAAGAGGGAAAGCATTATTAGATTTGGGTATAAAGCAAATCTTAACTCTAATGACAACATTTATAGATGGTTAACAAATAGATCGGCTAAAATATGATTATCTAGGAGTATATATATTTTATTATACAGAGAAGTTTAGAGCAACAGTCATGCAGCTTAGAGAACCACAGATATAGAGAATAGCTAACAGATTATGTACAAGGCAAGGCAAAATCTTCAGCTAGATGTTAATTATATGGACTATGGGAATTTCCTTTTTCTGGATGATGGAAATCAAGCACAACAAACAAAATCAAAAATAAACTTTACCATGTGGATGCAATTTAATTTCCTTCCTTCTGCGTACTGTGGGTGCAGGAAGTGGATAACCATGGTCTATAATAAAATCACACGCACACAGATACATATGAGAAAATCAAAATTAAATTATATAAATAAACGATAGTGTAATTAAATTATAATTCAAAGTAAATATATTTTTATTCGGCTAGCCGAAAGCGTTTAAGGTTTGTGGTAAAAATTATTATTATTATTATTATTTTTTTTTTATTTAATTTATTTTTGAGACTCATATAAGATAAGTTTCATATGAGTATATAATAAATATATCTCAAATAAAACAGTTTCAAAGTGTAATTAAAAATAAAAAAAAAAAAATCATTTAAGATAATCTTAAATTTTTTAACTTAAATAATTTAGGGTATTTTTTTTTATAGCCGAGCAAAAAGCCAATGCAGGCATAAATTAAATATTGAAAGCGATTTGGTTTGCTTCAATATAAAAATATAATTTTTAAATTCTATTTTAGGTTGAAAAAAAAAAAAAAAAAAAAAATTTGATATATTTTTAAATCAATTTTTTGTATAAAATAAATTGAAACAATTTTAAAAAAATATTTTTTGATTGCAAATATTTTTTAATCATTATGTTCTTAAGCACATAGTAGCAAAAGCATAAAAATTAATTTTTTTCATACAAGATTTCATTATTAAATTATTTTGAATAGAGCGCTTGGCAAACGTTTTGAAGTAGTAAGAAAACATGTAGAAGAAATTGGAGTCTCAAGAGGATTTTCAAGATATTCAAATAAGATGTAGATGCTTTATTTTACACTTGTATTAGCGCGCATAGCTCTGATAACGCTTCGGGCATTGATTGGGCAAATCAATGCAGTATATATAACAATGTATATATTGGTATTATGAAAGTAAAACCGCTAGAAAAAGTGTTATTTACATATGTAGTTGGGTTTTTCGTCTTGCTCGCGTCCTGCTACACAGGAGCTCAGTAAATTTTATTGGATCACGCACATTGAACAAAATGTCTTTGTACAGGGTATTCGTAGTTATAGGAAAAGTAATTTATAAATAGAGTGAAAATAAGATTCATCCAATACATGGTCCATGCAGCAGAGCGGGCTCATAGAAGGCGCACATCAGCGACTCCATATAGTAGGCCGTACCGACGGGTCCCCAGCTGTGCGGACGCTGTGCAGCACGCAGCGCCGCCTCATCCCGGGCGCCAGACAGGTTGCTGGAGCGCTGCAGCCGTTGAGCCTCGTCCAGGGAGTAGTTGGCGTTGCCCATGCTCTGGTGGCGACGATGCAGCGACTTCTCTCGCATCGTAACCAGCTCCTCACGCTCCGCCGACTGCGAGACAACAGGAGGAGAGTTATCCCTGGCGTACTCTAACTGCTCGGGCAGCCAAATCTTTACCGCATTCTGCTTGAGGGGCGAGCGCTTGATGGACACCGTCTCGTTCCAGGACACGGCTGCATTGGTGGACGACTGCCGTCGATGCTGGCGGCGCAAATTGGGCGTCGGATTCGCCGAGCTGCCCGCACTCGAGGCCAAGGCCGTGGCGTACGAGGCCAGGGGCGGCACCAGGGCTTGCATGTTCAGGCTAGGTCCGCTCTGCTCGGACGGCGCCAGGCCCAGGGAAATGCGCTTCGGCTCCAGGAAGCCCTCGGTCAACAGGGCGGACAGTGCCTCCGTGCTGGGCGTGTTGGGCTTCGAGGGAGGCAAGGAACAGGTAGAGAAGGTGGGAGCACTAGGCCCAATGGCAGCACTTACAGCTGTTGGTGGCTTGATCACGGGCAGGTTCGCCTCGCTCAGCGACTGCACATCCACATAGTTGGGCTCCTCCTCGCAGGGCATTATGTTAATCTCCGGCTCAATGACGACAGCTGCATCGGCGCTATCGACGCTCGAGGCGCTGCTGCTGCTGCTGTGACTGGACATCAGGGAGGCGCGCGCGGGCGAGGATGTGCCCGAGCTGGAGCTGCCGCCGTCTGGCGTCTGGTAGCCCGAGCCCTGGCAGGAGACGAAGCTGCTCTGGTGCGCCAGCGGCGCCTCCTCCTCGGCCAAGCTCGGCTCCACAGGCGTGCGTCGTCCTTTGATTCAAGCCGGGATTAGAGTTAACACACACACAGACACACACATACACACGCACACGCGCGCGATATACAAAACAAAATCGAGACGACAATTTCCATAGCGCAAAATGCAAAAACATATGGAAAATAGCAACGCGACCAAAAAGAAAGTGGAGCGAGTCCAAATAGAGATCCCGATGCAGCAAACCCAAAGCCGACTTACCATCAAAGTGCGTCTGCTTGTCCAGTGGACGCAGCATCTTCTGCTGCGTGGCCCGGATGCGCTCCATCTTCCGCTTGATCTTGTGCAGCACCTGCTTCTCGTGGTCGTGACGATGGGCAATTTGCTTCTGCCGCAGGCTCTCGATGATGTCCGCGCCTCTGCGGGAGAAACAACAAGACACATGAGCAAAGCTGAAGGAAGGCATATCTAGTTATCCGGGTCCACCCACCTGGAGGCGAGAATGTTGTTGGCCTTCGTGTCCGTGATGATGTGACAGAAGTAGTGGGACTTGAAGATGCGCAGCTGGAATATGATGAAGGCAAAGCAAATGGAGTCCCACAGCAGGACAACTTGGTGCGTTATCTTGGGGCACTCGTTGGGGTCGAGGGACAGGTCCGGATCCTCGCCCGGCAGCAGCTCCTGCTCATGGAGCAGGCTGCTCGTGCAGGTGATGCCCAGCATGTGCACCAGCCAGCAGCAGTTGGTGGTCAGCGACGTCATGAACAGGCAGCCCGCCATTTGGATGCTCGTCTTGATGACGATGTTCATCACATTGAAGGCCAGCAGCCACTTCCAGCGACTGATGATCGTGTGGATGGGGCGCAAATAGAAGTCGGAGCCCTGCCAGAGGAAGATGAACGCGCCAATCAGGTAGCCGAGCGCCAGCAGGTCCGCAATATTCGTGCCGGCCAGAAAGACGACAGCCAAGGTGATCCAGTAGAAGCCACAGAGCACGCCGTTCTTCAGTATGTCCGCGTAGTTTCGTATGTACGAGCAGAAGTCGTGCGTGGGATTGTCGAAGGGCACGCGCCCCAGCTGGGCGATGTCGCCGATGACGCTGCGATTGCTGCCGCCCGGGTAGTCGTCGTTGGTGGCGTAGCGCTGCTCGATGCAGAAGATGCTCTTCTGTCGATTCAGAATGACCAACACGATGAAGTCGAAAATGAGCTTGGGCACGTGGTTGAAGTGCAGGGCGCCCGGGAGCATGGTCCAGCGCTGAATGCTCTCGCCAAAGGAGCCCTCGTCCCAGGGATAGACTGCAAGCAGGCAGCAGATTAATATAGTAAATGCACAGGACAGATGATAGACCTACCCAGGCACATGCTTGGTGGCAGGCCCACCAGCACAATGTACTGCAGCAGTATGGAGATGGCGAAGAAGGCCTGGAACACGCCCCACACTTTGGCGCACTGCGAGCGCTTGAGCAGCAGCAGCACCACCAGCCAGAGGGCATACACCACCGCCACAATGTCCTGCCGATAGGTGATTGTCGACACGAGCGCAATCAGGGAGATCTCAATGCCGAACTTGTAAAAGCCAAAGTTAAGCAAATACTTGACCAGGCCAACCAAGTCCTGCTCGGCGTCGGCGCGCGTGATGTTCGGGAAGAGCAGCTTCGGCTGATTGGCCACGTTCTCGCCAATCTTGACGCGCATCTGCAGCTGGCGCAGCGAGATGACCGCATGCATGGTGACAATCACCATGTAGACGATGTAGGTGCGCAGCAGACTCATCAGCCCGCCCTCCACCTTGCTCGCCTTGGTGAGGCCGATCCACTCGGCGTTGTTGGCGGTGCGATTGTCGGACTGGAGGAGCAAACGATTATTATTATACATATATGATTATTCTATATATCATCAATCCATCGCGTCACTTACGCAGCTGACATTATATTGCTTATGATCGAGGTACTCGATTTGATAGATCATCTTCGAGAGCACTATGATGGTCACTATGAAGCTAATCAGTCGACTGACCACCACTTGCACCGACTTCCTCGACGTGGCGCCCAGCACACAGAAGCCCACGAAGATGATGTGCAGCACACAGACCTCGCTCACGCTGCACACGAAGGCGGCTATGTAGACGGCCTTCATGATGTGCAGCTCGAGGAAGCGCCAGAAGACGGTCTTGAAGCGCTTGAATATGTACTCCGATTTGTTCTTGATTTTGCGGAACGAAATGCGCACCAAATCCCGCACAGACGTCTCGAAGTCTGTGGTGGCGCCCTCTGTTGTGTGGCCACCGGAGCGACGCAGCGAACTGGCGCTGCCACGACGCTTCGATGGCGCTGCCTCCGCGGCACCGTGCTCCGTTTGCTTGGGCACCTGCAGGGCGCCCTGGGCTCCCGCCGCCGTGGACGGCTGCTGCTGCTGCTGCTGCAGCGAGGCAATGAAACGCTTGTGGAAGTAATGCACCTGGATGACAGTCAGAATGACAATGATCGTGGGCGAGACGAGGTGCAGAAACAGATCTTTGGTCTTGTAGAGCTTCAAGCCAATGTCGGCTTGGCTGGAAGAGGCAAAAGGATAGAGTTATTGATGCATCAGAGAGTCGAGTTCAGCTCCAGCTACTCACAGAGTTTCAGACACGTTGAGATACTCCATCCAGTAGATGTTGAACTTATCGAATTGATATGTGTAGATCAGTATCAGAATGGACATGGCATAGAAGATGAGGAACAGCCAGAAGCCGTACATGATCTTGACCCATGCCTTGGACGAGGACTGAAAGACGAGCAAGAAGAATAGGAACAATCCCATGTAGCAAATGCGAAAGCCGGTCATATCCTCGCCCGTGATGGCGCACAGAAAGATGACTAGCACCAGGAGCCAGATCCAGAGACGGACTAGTAGATTCTTGATCACATCGCCGGCTTTCTTTAGGAACTTTGAGGTCTTCTTGCCATCGTTGATGGGGTAGGTGGAGCCCGCTGAGCCGACTGTTATCTGCAGCGGCGCTATGATATCGGCCAAGGTGCTATCTCGCCTCCTGTCCCGCTTCTCCTTGAAGAACTGGCGCGACGTCACCCAGAACATGAGCACGAAGGCGGTTTTCACAATCAGCGGCACGCAGGGACGCATATGATTCTCAATGGGTCGCTCGAAGCCGATTTGCTGCAGATTAATGCCAGCCGTCTAGAAACGGATAAAAAGAGAGAGAGAGAGAGAGAGACGATGTGATTCAGTTAAATGATGTGAGCGGATGGGATCGTTGGGGGTGGGGAACTTACTGAGACCTTGGTAGGTAGCTCATTGTTATTCAGATCCATGCCATAGATATACTGGGCGACCAGCAGCAGCTCCGCATAGAGCACTATAAAGGGACTCGAGCGCATCATGGCTTTGCGCTGATTCGGTATCATCCAGAGCACATTCGCCCAGAGCAGCAGCACAAAGGTCAGCCAGCTGTGGTAGACAATGGACCAGGCCTACAAGAGAGAGAGAGAGAGAGCGAGAGAGAGAATGAGAGATATGAGATATAGAGGACTTCCTAGACTTACCATCATGAGTATATTCGTGAATATATAGCTATTCTGATAGATAAAGCCGCCCACGCTGACGAACCCGTAGGAAATCTGATCGAGTATCGAGGTGGTGCTGTTCTCGTGCTCCGAGTGCCGCTCCAGCTGATCCAGCTGTATGTCGTTGCCACGTGTCGCAGTCGAGGCTGTGGCAGCTGCACCGCTCGCATCCACGGCCTGGGAGGCGCGTGTCTTGCGCGTGCTCTGACGAACCAGCTAGAGATATATACATGGGATATATGAGTTCAGCGAAGCAATTCATGGGAATACTTGAGTTTAACATATATACAGTTTAACATATATACAAAGAAGAGTTTTGGGTTCAGCTAGTGGATCGTAGGTTTAGTGGATGTTATGGTTAACCAAACCAGAACTAGATGAGAATTTTAACAGCTATATACAAAACAAACCCAAAGCACGCACACACACACACGCGCGCGCACACACTTACAATTGTACATGTTAGCTAGAGCTGATGTATGATAGATATACATAGATCTGTATATATATATATTTATATAACTGAATAACTGGACAATGCTAGACAAATACAATACAATACAAACAAATTAACAATGTAGAGCAAGTTAGTCAATACACAGAATAGATAGATAGATATAGAAGCTAGAGTTATATGCAGATTTGAGCTGTTTACAGAGTTGGCTAGGGCTAGGGCTAGGGCTATAGGTTAGTTTCTGGATGTACGAGGGGCGGGTTACGAGTACTTAGTGGCGAAAAGTGAAGTTAGTTTACGTACAGGCGTCGTCTCAGTCGGTTCATTTAACGTAGCACGCTGTTCACGGCGCAAAGACACCTAAAGCAGAAGAAGTAATAAAATAGAGAGCGTAAACAAAAATCAAAAAACAAAAGAAATGAAAAGAAAAGAAACAGTATAGCCAAAAGAAAAGAATGAATCTCTCAAAACAACCAAAAAAAAAAAAAAAATACGCGCAAGCTTAGCCTAGGGCTTAGATTATTAGTATTAACAGTAAGAATACCTCCATTAGTATTAACAATATTAGTTATAGTCATATACATGGGTCACACTTTATGTATGCCTTAGTTGTATTTAAATATTTTAGATCGTGTTTTTCTGATATATAAAGTCTGCAATATTTTCAGAACTATGGAAAGCTTGTAGACCTCCTGTGTTGCCTTAGTTCTTTATATTTATCATTTATGTTTCTTGCTTTTATCTATGTAAATGCTGTAAACATAATTTATTACTACACAAATTAAAAAAAAAAAAAAAAAAAAAAAAAAAAAAAAATTTAATTTCTGACAAGAATAAAAAAATTTTTAACCTAAATAATTTCAGTTTGCATAGAATAAAATATAAAATATAACTTATTTTAAATAATTTAAAAAAAAAAAAATTTTAATCTAAATAATTTTAGTTTGCATAGAATAAAATTTAAAATATAAGTTATTTTAAATAATAATTTTTTTTTATGTTTTTTTTTTATAAATAAAATAAATCAAGTTTATTCAACAAATAATTAAATAAAATTAAATTACGACTTTAAAAAAAAAATTGCTCAAAATTATATTTTATTTTTATATAATCTCTAGCTAAACTTTATAGAAATTTATTTTTATTTTTATATAATCTCTAGCTAAACTTTTTAGAAATTTATTTAGATTTTTTTTTCTCATAAAAAATAATTTGCTTTATAGTTTTATCGAATTTAATGCTTAGAACGACAACAAAAAATTTTTAATAAACTTAAGAGCAAATTCCAAGTTTTAAGCTGGTAGTTTTGATTCACTTTGTTTTAGATTTAAATGTCTATTATTTTTTTGTTCAAAGAGAAACGAAGTCTTTGACAGTTCCCGCTTAGTTGGCTCAACAAAAAAAAAAGTTTGTCGTTAGTTGCAAACTGTTACAATAGATTTTAGTTAGACACACTCCCCCACACACACACACACACACACATAGGTAGAGCTGTCTGCTTTCATCTGAATTGATTGGACTCTATTTTCATATAAGTTAGATAGTACTATATAGACTCTATATATATAGTCGGTGCAATAGCATTTGACAGTGACTGTCGCGCAGTCAACGTCCGTTAATGCACCTACACACACACACACACACACACACCGATACACACACCAGCACATGCTTACACTCAAACGTTGTGTGCGGCTTGTTGTGGCGCCTCCACCGCCTCCGCCTCCTCCTCCTCCACCTCCCCCTCCCCCTGCACTACTCTCCCTGCCGCTGCGTGTTGCTTGCGCTGCGAGCAGCGATAGCTGGCGATTGATTTTGTTGTTGGTGTTGTTGCTGCCGCTGGTGCTGCTGTTGCACTCGAGCTGCTGCCCAAAGGCGGTGGCGGGCTTTGGCTCCAGCTGGGGCGTGGCAAATGGCAGGTTGGCAGGTGGGAGGTGGCAGGTGACAGCAGCAAAGCAAAGCGACAAGGTGAAGCGCAAGTTGTTGTTGTTGTTGTTGTTATTTGGTTAGTGAGCAGTCAATTGTTGTTGTTGTTGTTATTGTTGTTGTATGTGTGCATTAAAGTTTGAATTATATATTGTATATGTTGTGTTAGCATATTAAGATGTTCATCCAATGCATGATCGCAGCAGGCAGCCGTAAAAGTTGTAATAATTTGTAGTAGTAGTGGTAGTAGAAGAAGAAGAAGAAGAGCAAAGAGCGAAAAGAATGGCCCAAAAAAGTTATTCAATAACCAAAATTGTTAGTGGGAAAAATAAGTATTAAAATCTTAAGAAATATATATGTATGTAATATGGTAAGTAATATATAGAGCAAGTTATCTTCGAGGCACCGAAGCCGGAATACCCTAGCAGACCGTTTGAAAAATAAATGTTATATGTAAACACTTTCTGCATTCACAAATCTCTTCACATAAGAGCTGTATATCATATGAAAGAATATTATGATATCATAAGATATCATAAGGACTTAGAAACTGAGAGAGACGGACGGACTTCAAACTTGATCAACACTCGAAATTCTTCAACTAATTATCTAAGATTACAATCACTTTTTTGAATAGATCACATAATTCTATGACAATAAACAATCCTTTGCAAGGGTATTCCAAAAAAGGAAAATATTATTATAGTTTCTCACTATCTTAAGCAAATCTAGCGCACTTACCCTCGGCTTGATGAGATGTTTTGTGGTCAGCGCCAGTGCAAAGTAGGCGAAGAACAAGGCGAACGGATTCAGATACGAGTCCAAGGTCAAAGTGTTATTGTAGAGCAGAACGCGTATGTCTGGCGAGCAATACGACTCGATGAGCGGCTCCAGACCAATCAGACTGAAAGTTGAAATTGGAAACGAAACAGATGCATTGGAGCAGGGGCGGGCAGGAGCTTTCTTTGTCCATTGTCTTACCGCGCTGTGAGGCTCGTGTGATTGAGGTGACTTTGCATCCAGGGCGTTTGATAGGAGACAAGGCACAGCGAATGCAGCACAAGGACGACCATGACGCAGCGCAGCAACAAAGCAAAGCCACTGAAACCACAAACAAAAGAATGTAACAGAAAAGAAACGTGTTAGACGAAGGTACGAAAGACAACCAAATTGATTTGATTGCATCGAGAGAGGTAGAGAGAGAGGGAGAAAGGGGAGTAACAACACGCACCGTTGCAGCGTCTGGCAGGTTGCCCAATAAGTGCCCGCCAGCAAAAATATGAGAAAATAAAATCCACCTGGCACCGATGGACGCAGTGCGGCCGCAAAGAACAATGTGGCCAAACAGAACAGAGGAGCTGTAAAGGAAGAAGAAGAAACAGATACAAGGAGTGAGTACATATTAATGGCTTTCTGTAAACAGATGACGGTAAAGAGGTAGTGCAACATGAACAACATGGAGCAGCATACGATTCGCTACATTTTATTAAAGCTTAGTTAGCGGCAGCTTAACAGTGCAGCATATTGCAGTAACAGTTCTACGTTATCTCTGTTAGTGTTTACATAACGTATAGTCCCAGCTAACATTAACATTTCATCCAACAGCAGCGCCTGAATTATTATGTTAATTCTGGACTCGCACTTAACAGAGACACTGCTTAACATTGCTTGACTTTCTAACAGGCTCGCCTGATTGCTATGCATAACAGAGCTTGTTACTTTACATAACATTTCAGTCACACTTAACAGCGCTACTTACATATCTTGATCAAGCCCTCGAAGTGTATGTGCTGGCTGATCATGGAGACGCGTTTGCGCAGCTGCTGCTGACTCTGTTGCAGCGGCGTTGTGGCCGTTGCCTGTTGCACATCGGCGCCATTCGAATCGAGGCCAGCGGCAGGCGGCTCCGACTGGGCCTCAGGCAGCTCGCCATTCTCCAGCTGCTCGGCGCTGAGGGTTTGATTGGCCAGGCGCTTGACGCTGAGGAAGCTGGCCAAGGCCGTGGCAAAGACCAGGACCTCGGGTGCCAGCCATTCAATTATGGCCATGGGTCTGCAGCAGAAAAGAGAAAAGCGTAAATTATATATCTGATTTATACGGAGTGTGCAAACACTCCAACTCACTTCAAGTCCACGAAGCTCATGAAGCCAATGTGCCGCAGCAGTCGCTCGCTGAAGGAGCAGTTGTAGATGGGCAGCGAGACGCTGACGGCAGCCACCTGAAGCGCAATGTGACCCAGCAGCACGAAGGCGCTCAAGGAGAGCAGGATAATAAAGAACGCCGTCACAGAGCCCTTAAAGTTGCGACGCGTCGCCAGCGGTACGAAGGGCGAGATGAAGAACATTAACAGGTACACGAACGAGATGCCCACTGGTCGCATCAGCGATGCTGCAAATGGAAAGCAAAGCAGAGTCAATAGAGAGTTCAAGTTTCAAGTGGAAGGACTTGTCGGACTTTTAATACTCTTCTAAGTACACATAAAGTATCTGTATCTGATCTGTATCTGTATCTGTATCTGTATCTGTATCTGTATCTGTATCTGTATCTGTATC